AAATTGAGAAAATAAATTAATTCAGGAAAACTTTTCTTATTAGGCAAATCGGGCCTTGCATAGTAGGCTGAGAAGTGTGTTCTGGCTACTAGGTACGACATATACATACATATGTATATAACATATATATATATATGTCGTACCTAGTAGCCAGAACTCACTTCTCAGCCTACTATTCAAGGCCCGATTTGCCTAATAAGCCAAGTTTTCCTGAATTAATTTATTTACTATAATTTTTTTCTTATGAAATGATAAAGCTACCCTTTTCACTATGTATGAGGTCAATTTTTTTTTATTGGAGTTAGAATTAACGTAGCTATATGACCGAACCTAACCAACCCTACCTAACCTAACCTAACCTATATATATAGGTAAGGTTAGGTTAGGTAGCCAAAAAAAAGCTAGGTTAGGTTAGGTAGGTTAGGTAGACGAAAAAACATTAATTCATGAAAACTTGGCTTATTAGGCAAATCGGGCCTTGCATAGTAGGCTGAGAAGTGAGTTCTGGCTACTAGGTACGACATATATATATATATATATATATATATATATATATATATATATATATATATATATATATATATATATATATATATATATATATATATATGTCGTACCTAGTAGCCAGAACTCACTTCTCAGCCTACTATGCAAGGCCCGATTTGCCTAATAAGCCAAGTTTTCCTGAATTAATATATTTTCTATAATTTTTTTCTTATGAAATGATAAAGCTACCCATTTCATTATGTATGAGGTCAAATTTTTTTTATTGGAGTTAAAATAACGTAGATATATGACCGAACCTAACCATCCCTACCTAACCTAACCTAACCTATCTTTATAGGTTAGGTTAGGTTAGGTAGCTGAAAAAGCTAGGTTAGGTTAGGTTAGGTTGGTTAGGTAGTCGAAAAAACATTAATTCATGAAAACTTGGCTTATTAGGCAAATCGGGCCTTGCATAGTAGGCTGAGAAGTGCGCTTCTGGCTATATAGGTACGACATATATATATATATTATATATATATATATATATATATATATATATATATATATATATATATATATATATACGATATATATATATATATATATATATATATATATATATATATATATATATATATATATATATATATATATATATATATATATATATATATATATATATATATATATATATATATATATATATATATATATATATATATATATATATTTATTTATTATTATTATTTATAAATCTGGTAAAGACACTAGACTCAGAATATCTTGGATAGCCAGTATTTATTTATACCAAACTTGTAAAAACAAGTTGGAGGTGATTGGACCCCTAGTCATCAGCAGTATCCTTCCCTGTACTACTATGTATAACTGCTCTTGCCACAATTTTGTGCCTTATTCGGTAGTGTGTTTTTATTTTGTACCTTGTTATTTTATATTACTCTCACACCTCTCTCTTGCTCATCTCAGATCTCTTACCTCTCTCACTCATCTCTCATTCACTCATTTCTCAAACACTTATCTCCTAATACACACAATCATACACGGTTTACTGACCATGTATGTTAAATGAAATCTGATTGATGAAAGTTATACACAGGTGGTTGATCAGTTTTCTCTTAACTTATTTTATGATAAGAATAAGGTAATCCCCTTTTTAGAGCTATTACCAGATATGTCATATCTTTGGAGTATCTTGAGGAACAATATTTATACATAAGTATGATTGGCATATAGAGACACATTGTTAATAAATAGTATGTCTCTGTACGAGATACAAGTCTGCTTTTTCACTTCCATTTGATGTTATCCTTTGCAGGGTGCAGTGATATTTATTATAGAGCACTCCAAATGTATTTCTTTAACTTAGCTTAAAAATTTTTATGACATTATGAAGCAATGTCTGTCAGGGTTATACTGTAAACACAGATGTGGACAAGTACACAGGACAATAATACTTATGGTAAATCCAATCTTGACTGCACTTAGCTACTCAATAGTTAAGCCTTTTATGGGCTGTAGCTTGAATGTACATCAGATAATAATTCATTAATTATTTAAACCTCTTAATTTTTTCCACCCACTTCTTGCATGTGTGAGTATATGCTGGATGACAATAGCCAAGAGGTAGGCCAACTAGCTACTCATCTCTACACCCACATTTGAAAACATAAGAGACACTAAACAGAGGTGGTAACAACCCTGAACTTAAAATATATAATACAGCTAAAATACCTGATATTGCTCGGGTAGAGATGACACTTGAATTGTTTTTAAATGTCGTATTTGTGATGTTACTCGGTGTGGAGATGAGGTAGAAAAACAATGCCACAATTTGGAGGGGTTGCCCTTGGAGGATGGTTGAGTGTCCAGACTGGGATATGAGAAAAGAGGTCTTTCACAAGTGGGAGACTGTACGATGCAGTAGGATTTCCTTATTAATTAATTAGGGGGCGATTTACCTATTCCGGCACTAGTCAGCACTTGGGCCTGCCCCCCCCTTGCTATCCTGGTAGGTGGTATTCTTTGGATCTGGGACCAAAAACTTTTGAAAATTATATGTACAGTATATGGAAAATGAATTGACTTCTCTGACTCAGGCTTGTGGGGCAGGTAAGCAGGCCCCACTGCTTGGGCCCCCCTTTCCCCTAGTGGTAACTTATGTGGCATAAGTATATTGATCTTTGTCATGATGGACGTGTGTAACCTGATGATTTACACATCCATAAGCACCTAGTTGACACTGTAAATAGCTGTGTTACTTTTAACCCCAGACTGGCATGTGTGTTGTTGTGGTCCTCTCAAGAGGCAGCCTTTGTCCTGCATTGGTGAGACCCCTGGTTTGGGTCTCCAAAAATGCTCAAATGCCAGTATTGGCACCCTGTTGCAACTGGGGACCGGAACCTCAAAGACTGCCATCATCTT